GGGGGGGGGGGGGGGGGGGGGGTATTATAAATTTTATATGTCAAATATTGCAGGAAACAAACACACAAACATTGAGCATTACAGTTTAGGATGTAAACAACATTGCAACTTTTATCAGTAGAGATGGACAAACCAAAATGAAATAGAAAAAATCAAGGACGAAAGGATGAATGACCACTGTATTTAACGGAAAGTGAAAGGATATTATAAATTTTATAATGTCAAATATTGCGAGAAAACACAACCACTGAGCATTAAAATCCAATAGGGGCATAACCATAAAACTGAACCAAAACTTTCAAGCTCAAACTAATGAATTTGGATATGCAGTTTAGTACTAATTGGTAATTAAACTAACATATAGTATACTTTTTATTTATTTAGTTTATCATTTTTCTTAACCAAGCCCCATATGAATAAATAAGAAGAGATTAGAAAATCCCCAACTGAGCAAGGTGGACTGGGGCATCACTTTGTCGGAATACAAATTTTGGGAAGTTATAGAAGAATTGAGAAATTATGTCAACTTTTGCTGGAGTAAAAAGAGTTGGCTCTTACCTGTGATCTGAATTTTGTCTCCAGGCTTTGAGTTACACAAAAAGTTGCTACAAATGCCATTCTTGGATGGATCTTCTTTTCCTGTCTCGGGATCATAATAAACAGCACGGCGCACACACAAGCTCGCTGTTTTACCATCAAAAAAGTCTCCATACCTTGTGGAAGCAATTGAATATAGTCGGACATTATGGGGAGCCCCAGGTTTCTTTGGATTTTCACCCTGCCACCAATGTAAAGTAGTATTTGCAAGTTGTGAAATCATTCAGAATTTCAAATGCATGAACTTCAACATCTGACCCAATGAAAAAAGGAATAATGCTTTACACATGATATAATAAGCTCAAAGGAACCATTAATTTTTAGATGGAAGGTGGAGGGGGGAAGAGGGGGCAGAATCAGCTTAAATTCTGATGATGACTAATAATATTAAGTTCTTTGGGAAAGAACACATAATTGAACAATGTTAAATATCAAAAATGCAGTCCTTCCATCAAAATTAATTTATCCAAAAAATCTTTAGGCATAGATCAATCATGATAGATTCACGATCATTACTCAGAAGGAACGACAGGAAGCAAAGAATAACTATCATTAATAAGCCACTTACTGGTGGAATGACACCATAACTTTGTCCTTCCCAGTAGGGAACATTCCCACCATGATCAATCACAATATGACAAGTTTCCCCAGGAGCCTTTGGTCCCACTAGCCTCTCAACAGAAACAATTGTTGCTGTATAGGGTTCTTTAGGCTTGTATAGGTTCAAGGGAGGTTCTTTAGCATCTTCCAATTCTAAAGGTGAGACAGTAACTTTGGGTGCACTTGCTTGTTGCACTGACATGCATATCACTTGTCGACTTCTCAAACAAGAGTTGTTTGCCTTCAAGTCCAAAGTAAATACTGGTGCCCATGATTTATTGGAGAAGTTTAAGCTAGGGGCCTGCATCATCAAGTGTAGTTTTCCTTAAGAATACAAGTTACTAAACAAAATATAGGAAGCTAAATTTCATAACGTAATTATATAAACAGAATCTCTTATTCTAACAACTGCAGTACTATACATAGTGCCTTGACAGTCCAGTTATGAAAATCAATTGATATATAATAACACAAGTATCTAAAGAAACAATGTGTAAAACTCAGAACACATGTTAAGTCAAAACAAGAAGCAAAACTCAAAATATACATGTGTTAAGTGGACACCAAAATACTTAAAACTCTGCGTTTTTCTAATATAATGTTCAAGCCACAGGTTAATGGATTATAGCCAACCTAGGAGGTTAGCCTAGCCTTTTGACCAAAATATAAAACCTTCACCTCCACCCCATATTTCTTCAACCCCATTCCAATCAAGCAGGTACAGAAACGAACCGAATCAAATGTATTGTAAACATGGCTTTATCTAAACGCATTCAGAAATAAACATGAACATCCCCTAATCGCTACAGTTGATCCCTCAAAGTATTTTAACAGAAAACTAAATTAACATACTCATAAAAAACTAGCATAACTAAACATTCTTCAGACAACATGATCTGTAATTTAACATGACACAACCAGCAGAAGCATCAGATTAGCATGTTTCCAAAGTCAAAAGGCAGAAAAAACGAATCAAAAGTACTGTCAAACCTTAAACGCAGATCTTCTGAGAGTCAAATCGTTGCCAACAGGAACAGTTGCAGCCATCTGCTAAACCCCCACAAAAGTCTTAGTTCATGAATTAAATTTCACTCGGTAACTGAAAAACTTAGGGAGAAACAAAAATCATTTTAAACCCCCACTTGGGTTAAATTTCTAAGCTTTGACGTTCTACAAACACGTCTTGACTCACCACTTAAGAACCCAAATAGATAAATAGAGCCAAAAAAAAACAAGTAAAGAAAAGGTGAAATTTTGATGCCGTTTGGGGTGACCCATTTATTCCGCGAAGGCAAAACAGTGACAGCGTGGAGAAAGGGATGTACCTGAGACAAGGCCAAAGGAGCCATCTTAAGATCGAGGGTGTTGAAGTTGTGACAGCAGAAGAAGGGATGGGTTTGAAAAGTGAACAAGTGTAATAATATTGAGAATTGAGAATGATAAGAATGGGTGTAAATGTGTAATATAAGGAAGGTGGCACACCAACAACAACAACTGTGTCAAACTGCTTTGATTTGGGTCAGTTTGATGATCCTTTGGCGAAAGGGAAAGGTCGGGTTTTTTTAGTTTTTCCTTGGCTCCTCGTAGTGTCACTGCCTCTCTCTCGCCTTCACCTACCCATGTGATGTAAGGTTGCTACTTCCTATGAATTTAGGAATACTTAATTCCTTTTTTCAAAATTAAATAAAAATATTATTAATACATTTAATGAGAAAATAGCCAATAAATTGTTTTTTAAAATAAAGATAAAAAGATTATAAAGACGGTAAGATTGAACATAGGTTCACATGCTTCTAAATACTCAAATTTCTCCCCCACTCAACCAAAACTATAAATTATTTAAATTGTCATCAATAAAATTTTTTTATTATGTATAGTTGATTTATTAATTTTTACTAAAAAATACTTTAAACTTAAAAAGCATACATATCATAATTCATTAACACATTGTCATCATTATTATTATCGTCTCTAATGACAATTTTATTTATGATCTTTTAATATTAATTATCTATTTTAATCTAATTATGAATAATTTTTATTCTGATAAGAAGAAAAAAATTATTTGAAACATTCTCTCTATTTATATATATATATATACGAAAAAATTATAATTATAAATATAAGTAAATTAAAGAAACAATCAAAAAAATATTTTTTCATTGATTTGATTTAGTTTATTCTATTTCACTAAACATAATTATTATGTTATTATTTATTATTAGACTATGATATATTATTTTATTTTATTGTATATATACCTATATATATATATATAATGTGTAAACATATAGTTATTATACAGTTTATAATATATGATGTAATAGTTATGAAAGAATTAGATGAAAAAAAATGAATAACCCTCAATAAGTTTTAAAGTATTAAATTACACTACCTTAGTACCTTGTGTTTTTCTATATGAGAAAAAATAGTTAATTCAACAAAATTAATATAAATAGTTAAGTTTGGATAATTTTAATTAATATTATAGATTTAAATCTTATTCCAAATATCATTGAACTTTAATAATTTTTACTGTGATCATTTTTTAATTACATTACATCTGATTTCAAAAAAAAAAATTTATAATGAATATATTTGAGTTAATAATCAACAATACATTGGTGTTAATGGTATAAATAAAGGGTATAAATAATTGACTGTGATATTTATACGTCATCGATGTAAAATAATTTTACGTTATCAATTAATTAAAAATTATTGTTGTTGATATAAATAAATATTGTCAATCAATTAAAAATAATTATTAATTATTATTGATATGACTTTCAAGATAGTATTATTAACAAGTTCATTATACATAATAGTTTGTGACTAAATAATAATGTAAAGTATTCTATACATATAATTTTCTTAACAATAAAAGAAAAACAATTAATATACTCAAAACATTCGTATGTTTCTTATAATTAAAACAAAAATATATTTAATGAAAAAAATAATAAATAACTTTCATACACATTAAATTAAACCATCACTTCCATTTATGTGACTTGTTAAGTATCAAGTAATAATGGGATTCATTGAGTGTTAAGTAAGTGTGGTGTCACCTACATTCAAATGACCTTAAACTAAGTGTGCATTAGAAATAAAGTCTAAATCATAAATTATCATTCTCCTTTTACATTTGACAAAAACTACAAAGAATCATTTCTTTATAGATCGATGTGATTTTTACTTATATGTAAATCTAAACATAAAAAAGTGATAAAAAAAATTAAATATAAATTATTTTTAAGAATTAAATATATTTTAATTCTCAAATTTTTATCAATTGTCATTGTTTTTACCAATTTGAGTTATGACAATTTTACTGATTTTAACTTTTAGTCTATAAAATTTTCACTTTTGTTTATAGAGAAAGTTTTAGAAACAAACAAAACAAAATTTATTCAGAACTACAAGTAAAAATAAAATAAAAAAATCATAAACTAAACATACTTAATCCCCAATGATAATCTGCTAACATAATCACAAGCTTACACTAAAGGTTTCACTAGAATAACTTGGCCCATGATTGGAAACGGAGTCTGAAAGCGGCGGGCAATAGTTAGCTTTTTTATATACATTTTTTCATCGAACTGAAGGAAACGTTATTCAGGCCCTTTTTTATTTTTATTTTTCATCTTACTCACAATTTTTTACTCATTTTTGATTATTTTATTTTGCCATTTCTTCCCACCCTTGCACTCTTCTTTGTTTCTGCTGTGTAAAAATTCATACCGATTTATTTTCATCGAGGATACTATCGTTGAAAAGAAAACGTGTGTAGTTTGAATATCTTGTTTCTCCGCATAGATGTTGCGTAAATTTGTATTAAGATGATCTTTATTTCCCATAAACATATTTTTAATTCCTTAAATTTAATTAAACTTATTTTTGCCTCTTCAAATTTAAAATTAATTTTTTATTCTTATAATTTTCAAAAATCCTCTTTTAACCCTTCAAACTATTAATATCATATTAAAAATAACATTGAAACGATTATATAACAAATTTAGTATTATTTTTTCACAAACAAAAATATTACTAAATAAGTTTTGTACAACAATATTTGACATATTTTTAAAAAATATATTGAATATAAGAACTAAAACAACTTTTTAAAAATATTATAAGAATTACAAGATCAATTTTAAATTTAAAAAATTAAAAACAAATTTACTTTAAATTAAGATTAAAAACATATTTAAACTTTTTAAAAAAATTATTTTCCACAGAAGGTACTTTATAAAAAACTCTAGTACATATAACCTTGATGGCACAGCCATAGAAACAAGAGCTTCCATGGGTAAAAGGGGAACTACAGCCACATACATTTTGTTCGAGCAAAGGATCATTCCAACAATTTCAAAAACAAATTCTACCAGAAACAAACAAGAATTGCTAGTAAACACTGCCAACAAATTTCGTTAAAATGACTCGATTAAAAGACAGCAAAGGGTAATCGGGGAAGGCAACGAAAACTTCTTAGATGACAAAATTTCTGCAAAACCACACGAATAAATAACAGACAGCTTCCAAGATTATCAGATATCCGATCTATTATCCCATAACATATATGAAAGACTAACAAAATTTGAAAGGAAAGTTCAATTTGCTATATGTGGCACCCAAAATTTAGAAAACACTAGCAAAGACTACTCAGTACTTGACAGGAGCAAGAATATCAAGTTGGGAACCGAGCTTCTCCTCAGCAATCTTCTCTGCCTTCACCCTCAATTTGTTGAGCTGCTTCTTTCTCTCGTAAACCAACTCTGCTTTCTCCTTTCTCTTTTTCTCCAGCTCCTGTAAGCAATAAAACAATTACTCACATCAGCAAACAACACATCCATATCTATTATCTACTATAGGTTAACAATAGCTTATACATAATCAAATTAGCATAAAACCCAATTTATGCAACAATCTAATTTAGATTCCCCTTCGATATCGAACAAGGAAAATAACAACTTTCAACCCATATTACAGAACTGTGGAAAGAAAAGAAACCAGGTTTGCATAAACTTAACAATAGGAATAATATATATAATATATAAATCGAAAACATATATATGGACTTCACAATTAGCGATAAGATCATATTAGAATATGCTGAATAATTGTAGAAAATGCCCATTTAAAATGATTAGCGCAGCAAAAGCTCACAAAGCAAAAACCTACCTTAATGGTGTCATAGTAGCTCCATCCAACTTCAGATGACAACCGACCCAGCACGCAGTACTTGTGTCCTTTCTGAAGCCTCAAGACCCTGATTTCATTTTTACATCATTTAGCTAAACATTCAAAAGAGAAACAACAATTATTTATTCAACGCGATAGAGCTTAATAACCAACCCCTAACAACACAAAAGCTTTTCACACTTCCAGTGAATCACAAATATTAAGAGTAAGTTTGGATACAACGCCTAAGTTTCTAATAGAAAAACATTAAAAGTCATAATTAATCATCGGTTGAAATTACAAACATTAGACCCTAATAAAAGTAGAAATCAGCATACAAATGAGAAAGATAGAAAACATACTTGAGAGCATCAGGAACAACCATTCTCTTGGTCTTGTCATAAGGAGGAGGGATCCCCTCGTAAACCTTCAAACGAGCAAGAGCAGCTTCCCCACGTTTGGTCTTGTGCGGTATCATTCTAAAAGCAGAAAATGTCAGAACCCTAAAGCCCAAATAAAAAAGATAGAAGATTTGAAATAGAAGAAACCAACCCACGAACAGTGCGCCAGAAAATCTTAGCTGGAGCGCGGAAGTGGATGGGACCGTGGGAGGGTTTGGTGTTCATGCGTTTGCGGAGGAATCTCATGTACTTCATCTTCTGCCTGACGAGGCCTCCGGAGATGCAAATCTCTTCGCACCTCACGACCACCACTTTCTGGCCGTTGAGAAGCTCCTTCGCCACGATCGACGCTAACCGCCCCAACATGTGGTGGCGAGCGTCGACCACCACCCTCTTTGCACAGATTCCGGAACCTGACACCATCTTCCTTCCCTCACGCACCACACAGATTACACAAACCCTTTCTCTTCTTGCTGCTTAAGGAGCTGCACATTAGGGTTTTTCTTTTTCATGTACCCTATGGCTATGGGTCGGGTCGCCCCGATTTTTATGGGCTAAGCCCAACTCAACTCTTCTCTTTTTTACTTTCTTTTCTTCGCTATAACTTACTTATTATCTGAAAAAAGAAAAAACAAATTGCATCTCTCTAAACGCAATTAGCCAGATTCTACCGTTATTTTTTTATTGAAAAAATGATAAATGTTTTTTTTTAAGTTATAATTTTTTTACGTTGATATTGGGAATTTTTTTATTAATAATTAAAACATAACAGTCAGTGATAATAGCAAATAAATAAATAAATATAGTGTAAATTACGTGAAAATATATCACATTAGTAATTAAAAAAAAATAAAGAACTAAAATAAATATTTTTAAAAAATATAAAACTAAAGTAAAAAAAGAAAAATATAAAGTTGATCACTTTAACCACCATTTGAATTACCTGCGGTTGGAAAGAGAAAGAAAATTTAATCTGTACCATTAATTTTATTTTTTTTAACTTTATAAAACAGATGAAAAAATTGACAGCGGGATCAGGGAGGATTCAAACGCACATTTATGAAGAAAATTATAAGTTCTTAAGGGATGCTCGACTATTTTGTGAATCAGCAATTGATAACATAGTTATTCTGAAACGGAAAAGGACACAAAATAAGAAGTTAATTTTTTTTTTTTTAATAGGTAGAAAATTATAATGAGGAAAATACGAAAGTTAATTTGAGAAAAGTAAATGATAGGAATTAGAAAGTGAGTTAAGTGTAAGTGTGGGTTTATTTGTGTGATTTGGGTGAGTGGGTGTGGTGTGGATAGGTGGCAGCTACGACACAAAACAACACTCCCAATTCGTAAGAACACTCTCTCTTCCCTTTTCTCAATTCAACAAACTGCATCACTTCTTCTTCGCTTTTCCCTTTCCCACTTTCCAATCTTTTCTTTTTGCCTTCGTTTTTTTTCTTCTGTTTTTCGGAACCTCGCTGTTCATTCTCGTATTTCGATTCGGATAGATAGGTAATCAGATTTTTTTTTTTTTTAAAAAGCTCGTACTTGCTGGCTTGTGCTTAACTTCTTTCTTTGTATTGTTGATTGGTTATGCTCATGAGTCTTTGATTTTGAAACCTATTGTATTGGGATTTGGGGTTAAGAATTGGAAATGGACAGTAATTGTAGATTTTGTCCTTGGTTTTGCTTGCAAATTTATAATTGCTGGTTTGGTATCTGGATAATTATAATGGTTTTCAGATGTGATTTTAGGAGATGTTTATGCGCTGAATTTAGGATATTAGGTTAAGCCTCAACATGAGGAATAATGTCGTTTTTTTCAACATGGGATATGTTAACAACTTTTCCTTGTTTTGTTGTTTTAATTAAATTTTAGCATATCTTAAATGGATTAGTAGTTTATTTTGATCCATCCATTATATTCCAATTCAGAATCCATATGTTTGTCAAGAGGGTTACTATTATTAGAGCTATAATTAATTGATGCTGCTAAAACAATTTGATGTACAAATGAATTGGCTTATGCAGACCCTTTTAGTGGACTCTTGTAATCTGTATGAAAATTTAATTACTTGTTATACTCTCTACTCCCTTGGCTGCAGTAATAGGTGATAAATTAAATGATTGATTATAAGTTTAGGGGGAGGCACTTCAATCCACCTTAGAGGTGAGAATTGGAGACCATACCTTACCACAAGTCACATGGTTTTAAGTATCTCAAGTCCATCATGCAAAATGGTGGAGTTAAAGGGGAATGTAAACCATAGGATTCAATCGGGTGGAAAAAAAGGAGAGTGCCTTGACTTGAGTATTATTTGTGATACAAAGGTACCACTTAATCTTCAGGGGAAGTTTTACCACACAACTATAAGACATGTGATGTTGTATGGAAATGGAATTGAGTGTTGTTGGGTTGCAAAAAACCAACAAGAGAAAAAATTCAATGTAGCAGAAATGAGAATATTGCATTGGATGAGTAGACATACTAGACAAGATATGAGTGCACTGAAAAAATTAGGATGGCACATATTGTAGAAAAAAATGGTAAAATCTTGTCTTAGATGGTTTGGGAATGTATTGAGAAGATTGGTAGATGCCTTAATTGAGAAAGTAGATCAGATGGAAGGTAGCCTTATCACTGGAGGGAGAGGGAGAATGAGAAAAATTATAGGTGAAATGATTGAAAAGGATTTATAGGTCAATGGTTTGTCTATGGACATGATTCACAATAAAACACTATAGTTTGATCCATGTAGGATGTGGCCAATCCCACCTTTGGGGAAAAGGCTTGAATGTTTGTTATACTTGGGCTGTTGGGCATACTATACTAGCATAAAAATACATGTTCACTGCAAGGTCCCTATGGATTTTTTTCATTTCTTTGATATTGTATTGTAGTTCTAAAGTGTTTTTTTCCCCTTTCTCTGTATTCATTCTACTTATATAGGCATAGCTAATAAACAATTATAACAAATATAGCATCTTGTTGAGTTGATTCATCAGCACCAACTTTTTGTGCTTATTTAAAATTTTGCCAGGCTCTATTCCTCATCTGCAAGCTCCATTCATCTTAGATATTAGTTTTTGTCTCATTTTTTGTTTTCTGGTTGCATCTATGTTTTAACACAGTATATCCAAAAGATAACATTTCCTTTCCATTTGAAGAAACTATAATTGCATACAGTATCCAAAAGATAATATTTCCTTTCCATTTTCTTAATTTATTTTTTTCCTGATTTTGTTTTCTGTTCGAAGCATGTATGCAATAGTCTTGAATTTTGTTAACAATATGTGTTCTGCTTCCAGATCTGGACACTATTGCATGTAAATCAGGAAATCATGACTTCTTCCACTCATGAACTCACAGGTATTTACATTAAAATAAAAATCTTCTCCAATTTTTCTTTTAAGCTACATAGCTAACTTTTTAATTCATTATAAGTGGATTAAATTCATTTCTCAAAAGTGATCAATTTATGGGAAAATTTCTTGTGTTGTCTTGTCTGATTTGTTCATCCATGTAAGAACATTTGTTCAACAGAAATGAGAACCTTGACATACTATTTGTGCTAATACTAGAGTGTTCACTAGAAGTTATGTGCTACAGTGAAATTTTTATTGAATTGCAGCTAGACTTTCAATGTTATGTGAACTGGAATCAGGGTATTGAACTGCAATCACAAGTGAAAGGTGGATAGCACAAAATTCAGGAATGTTGTGATTGATGAGTGGATAGGGTGAGATGTAAAACCATCTTGGGGAAGTAAGACAAATATATGATGGCCTACACAAGTCCTAGTAAATGTAGAATTGCTGAGTATGCCCCTTTAAAAGGAGATATGAGGAGACAAAAAAGACATCGTAGAGACAATTTAGAAGGGTGACGGGTACCTAGGGAAACCCAAATATTGTTTTATCTCAAGCCTTTAACCTCTTATTTTATATTTCATAAACTGAGCTTTGAAACTTATTTGTTCTAATTTTAGCTATTCCCTTGTTAGCTTATCTGACATCCATTTTGATTTTGGCAATTCAAACAACAGTTACCATTCCGACCAACAAAATCTACTACCCTATTGTTTTTAATTTTCTGTTTGTTTATAAGAATAAGAATGTCACCCTTGACAAATCTAAAGTGAATCTGGAATTTATATTCTAAAACATTATGGTGTGAAGTCCTGAGCTGTAACAATGTGCATAAAATAAAGCTGATAAATATTTCCCTGAAACAATTGAAGTTTAACTGTCTATTTGATACTTTTTGTCTCTCACCGGAAGGTGCGCCTGTGTAGGATGGAATGTGGATTGAAATTTGAGTATCTTATTAATATTCATCTAGAAATTGAAACATATCTGTTTTAACTATTCCCTGGTAATAATTTGTTATTTTCTTGTGGTCTATCGGTTTCCTCTTTGGAAAAATGCCAGACAAAATATTGTTAGTAAGCAGTAAACTCCTAATTGTTGGATGTACAGAAATTAACCCTGAATTCTATAATAACTTTGACTTTAAAATGGGAAAGCCCAAAAGTTATCTGTTTGAACTTGTAGGCTCCTTTGTATTACAACTTTGTAAGAAACTAAATCTTTTTTTTTTGTTGTTGAGAAAATTTAATGACACATATTACACTATCTCTATATATTAATATTAAACAATTTGCAAATTCAGTTTTCTCAGCTACTGTTTTTACGTATGGTGTAGAATTCTTACTGGATTAGTTGCTGGGATTCCTTACAAAATAAAACTTTTGTTGAGAAGTATTATTTGTTCTTCTCAATTTTAGAGTCTATTTCTTGTTGTGCAATTTATTATTAATTAAATTTTGTCTCTTTTCTCTCCTTTTTCTTTCTCTTCTTACTTCTTAGTAATAAATATCTCTATTTAATTGATTGATTTATTGAATAGCCATCCCTCAGTGATTTTGAAATACTGAAAGTCATTAATTTAAGATCGAAGGAGTTCGTAACAACACAATCCTGTTCTGTAGAGGATGTTATCTTTAACCAGAGTAGTGTGCATTAATAATAAATCTTCAAGATCCTAAAGCCCTGTTCTGTAGCAGAGGAAGTTATCTTTTAACCAGAATAGTGTGCACTAATAATAAATCTTCAAGATCCGAAACCGCCAACTCATATCATGCCCCCGCAAATAAAGCCTCACTCCATGCCCAAGGAAAATAAAATAAATACATTACAAAGAATAATATATAAAGCTCACTTTATTTGACGGATTTAGCATAAAAGTTCCATTCGAAGAATATACCTTTTTTTCTCTCAGTTCCTTTCAAACTAAATATATTCAACAACCTCTGTTTCCTTTAAAACTTACAAACTGAACATACATCTGGAGCTTTTGTGTTCCAAGTGGAGTAGATACTTCTGCATTCTGGTTGTGCCGTTGTGGTACATGTGGAGTAGAAAATTTTCTCTTGCCAAGTTTCATGGCCCTTTATTTATTAGGTTGACTTCTAGTTATTTATCTTATTAAAAAAAAATTAGCTTGTCTTCCATGCTATCTAAAGTTGTGTTTTTCTTAAAGTGATGCATTTGACTTGTCCAACTCACCGCCCCAACCCCAAAAGAAAGTACGAACGTAATGTCTGAATCCTGAAATTATTTAACTCACTGTTTTATAGATAATGAAGCTGATGCACAGCAGCAGTCAGAACCACAAATTCAGCCTTTATCTGCAAATGGAATTTCTCATGCAGGTATTGGTACTCAGGTTGTTCCGTATGCAACACCTCCACAGCTTGGAACTGGACATGCTGTGGTATGAACTTCAAATTTTAATAGGCTATCTTTTAATTGTCTTAGTAAATAAGGCCTGTTGGTTTGCCATCCTCGGTGCTTTCATTGGAGCTGGTATCTTAATATTTAACTATTTCAAAATGCTTGGGAATGTTTTGTTTTGTATGGGCCATAGCCATTTTATGCCGTCAAACACTTCTTACCTGTTATCGTTACAAGAGATATACATATTTGTTTTACCATTGAACAAATTTGATTCTGAATATTGTCTAATATATTGTCATGATAAAATTTGTTAGCCCATGTGTCTCGAGTCTTAATAAACAAAAATGAAAGTTATTTTTAATTATTATATGAAAGTAATACTTGATGCTGGGCTTTAAAGTTTTAGAAACTGCTAGGGCTCTTGGTGTAGAGCCTGGGATGGCTTAAATGAAGACTTGTAATCTGACAAATAGTGTTGTTTTCTCTGAAGTTTTGCCGTCTAAGTAAGTTTCTTTAGAGGTTACGTTTGTTGATGAGGTTATTTTCTTGAAATGACCAGAATTTTTTTATCCTGGCAATTGAAGGTTGAACGATTGCCTGAGCAAGTGCTGGTGCCATTTTCTATGTTGATGTGATATCAAAGAAGTAAGAAGTGGCTGCTCAGACTTGGTCAGGCAATTGAATCACTTTCATACCCCCTGCCCTTCCTGGACATATATTTTTTTTTTATCTTGCTACATAGCTGTTGGTTTTTCTGTCACCCAGCATATTTTACAAGGTAAACTCTGTTTTCAATTTACTGACTTTTGTTGCTTATGTCTCTAATTGAAGGCACCGCCCACTTACCCATATCCAGATCCGTACTACAGGAGTATCTTTACTCCCTATGATGCACAAACTTATCCCCCACAACCCTATGGTGGAAATCCAATGGTACATTCTAAATTTTTGGATGTTTGCAATATTGTGGCTTCTTGTTATGATTCTCATATTATCGAATTATATATCCTGGGTCAGGTCCATCTTCAGTTAATGGGAATTCAACAAGCAGGTGTTCCTTTGCCAACTGATACAGTTGAGGAGCCTGTGTTTGTCAATGCAAAACAGTATCACGGTATATTAAGACGTAGACAGTCCCGTGCTAAAGCTGAATCAGAAAAAAAAGCTGCAAGGAACCGGAAGGTATATCTATCCCTATCCGTTCTTACGTTCCTTTTTAATGATGCCAAAATTTGATTTAAAAAAAGATAATTATTAAAAAAAGGAAAATGAAGGGATAAAGGTTCCTAGAAGTTGTGCTGTTAGCTGCTAACTTCTTGATGTTGATATTTTGTGTGTGGCTCTAAGGATTCCCTTACTTGACCTTTAAACAAATGTTTCAGCCATACTTGCATGAATCTCGACATTTGCATGCACTAAGGAGAGCAAGAGGATGTGGAGGTCGGTTTTTGAATTCAAAGAAAAATGAGAATGAGCAGGATGAGGCTGCATCAGCTGAGGAATCACAATCCAATATCAATCTCAATTCTGATAAAAACGAGCTTGCGCCATCAGATAGAACATCCTAAAACTACATAAATGGTGTAGACTGCAGGGATCTGTTGTGTATATCTATGTAAGGAGACCGATCTCCAGCCAACAGCATCCCCGGGTATCTCCTTATCATTCATTCTGGCACTGTACAACACCATAGGTATAAGAGTATAGGTTGTGGTAGGTATGATAGGAGGGTGCAGTATAAAACAAGTAAAAATGTAAATTGAAGTGATTTAACTAAATCTATCCCCAGCGTGGTTCTTTGTAGGTGAGATTTTTATTGTGTGGGTTTTTCTATGTATTAATTGGTGCCTCGGAGGAAAAGTAGATTATTCGAAGCCATGTCTATTTGGTTAGATTATGTTTATTTAGCTTGTGAGACATTAGCTGCTGTACCTCTTGATTTGTTGTTATAAAGGAGGATTGGAGATGGAAATAAAAGGCTTCACATTTGTAGTAATATGAATGGATTTTAAATGCAAGCACACACAATAGAACAACAGAACATGACATAGAAAAGAAAACAAAATCCAATGAACACAAAAGGCAAAATATATTGAGAAGCGAATAATAAAGAATCCAACAGAGAAGTGATTGAAAGTAACGATATAGAAAATGAGAAAAAGTGATTGAAAGGCTAAGCTTGGGGCTTCTGGAAAACATAGGTGAGGCCGCACTTGCCGCAGTAGTGGCGGTCGAAGTGGTTGGCCATGAAGGTGCCGGCGCCGCATTCGGCGTTGGGGCACTCCTTCCTCAGCCTCTGGATCTTGCCGGAGTCGTCGACCTTGTAGAACTGGAGGAGGGCGAGCTTGACCTTCTTGTGCTTGTGCTTAATCTTCTTGGGCTTGGTGTAAGTCTTCTTCTTCCTCTTCTTGGCGCCGCCGCGGAGGCGGAGGACGAGGTGGAGCGTCGACTCCTTCTGGATGTTGTAGTCGGCGAGGGTGCGGCCGTCCTCCAGCTGCTTTCCGGCGAATATGAGGCGCTGCTGGTCGGGCGGAATCCCCTCCTTGTCCTGGATCTTGGCCTTGACGTTGTCGATGGTGTCCGAAGACTCCACCTCCAGGGTTATCGTTTTACCCGTTAGGGTTTTCACGAAAATCTGCATCGTGTTCCTCTGCGCTCTGCTCCCACACTCCCACACTCCCTCACCAGTTAGGGTTCCACTTCCACTTTTTATTATGCATTCTTAGGTTATGCTTCCCTTTCACTCCGTTGGGCCTATTTTTTGCTGGACTCAGCCCATTTCTCAACATTTAATTTAATAGTATGTCTATTGTTACTTATATATACAGTCTACAGTACACCTTTAATATATCTCAGCCTCAGGGGTAAACTGGTCGGTTAAGCTAGGTGTTTGGGTTAAGGTTCAATAATTAAACAAAATATATATTTTTAAAAATTGAAACAAATGAACAAAAGAAAAAGAGATACTTTATTTAAATTTTAATACATGATTGAAAGTATAAATAATATTATAACAACCATTGATAAGAAATCACAAATATCTCAACAAGCAAGCATTGTGTGTAGCAAATTTTGTATTATATAGCAAGTAAAATTAAATCAGGCTTAATTGTCTTTTTGATATTTAAGTATTTGAATTGTGCAATTTTAGTTCACAATATTCTAATTAAAGAATTTTGGTTTCTTAAATATCATAATCGTGTAATTTTAATCCTCAAATTTTAATTAAGTAATTTGAGTATTTCAAATATCATAATTATACGATTTTAATTCATCAAATATCGCAATTATATAATTTTTGACCTAATTAAGTTACATATACTATAATTTTCATTCATGTATTCGTTTATATATATTTATTATTATTAAAATTAGTAACATGTAATTTAAATAGGTCAAAAATTATATAATTGTAATATTTAAACAACTAAAATCACACAATTTTACAGGAATTAAAATTGATTAAATTTGAGGAACCAAAATTGCACAATAATAATGAAACTTAAATTACTCAATTTGAGAGATTAAAATTGTACAACTATAATACTTAGAACTAAAAATGTATTTAAGTAATTAAATTATTATTTTTGCTTCATATCTTCTTCAATTTAACTAATCAACTTATTCCTACAATATATAGTAAAAAAAAGTATAATTAAACATATGTTTAAATATTAAATTAATTATTATTCAAAATAATTTCATATAAAATAGGTTGTTTTGTGTACAGTATTCTTAATTAATTTAATTTAATATATTGTAGATTGGTTTGTTTATATCTATTGGAAAACAAATCCCTTTACTCATTAAGCAATCTCATTATAATCGAGTAACATAAAAATTATTCAATACAATTCCATGATTCAACTCAACACAAAACTATAATTAGATTGATTTAAATAGATTAAGGTATTAAATTAAATCTTTACCCACTTACACACGAAAAGAAATACCCCTATTATATATTTTCTTTTTCAGAAACACATTTCCAGATGTTTAACACATCCGAAAACAATCTTTCGAAAGTGCTTGAAAGTGTTTAGAATCACATGACAGGAGAATACTTTCGATCCCTATCTATTGAGTGCTTTGAAAATTACCGCTGGCCCAAAAACTCATTTTAATTAGGACTCAATATTTGATGTTGTCTTGCTCGCAATATAGCCGCTCATTTCACACAAATTTGATGGGAGATCTTCATAAATGACCTGAATGACCACGACGAGATTGGCATCAATGGACACCATAAGCTCCCACCGATATATGGTTTTTTGGAGGGGAGGATGACAAAATCCAATTATTACAACTCTGTGTTACTCTATTTCTTTACAAGTCAGTTTTTATTCTTAATAGATATGATCATCCTCAAGTTTTATATTGTTCGTGTCATACTTCTTTACAAGTCAGTTTTCATTTTTTTAGAAAGGAAAATCACTTCATAATTCTAAATAGCTAAATTAGTTGTTACATACATCATAATATATTGGCCAAAAGGCATAAAATATAATTGATAGCCATAGCCTTTGTTCACTAGACCATATAAAAAACAAAACACTGAAAGACAATTAAAACAATTTGCATATCCCCTGTATAACTTAGGCCAAAGCAAAAAATATGGTTGCGGGAGTTTGTTCTACAGAACAAAAGCCACTAAATAACTATTTTTGCTTAACCTTTATGTATAAGAATAACAAAACTCTGAGCACGTTTTTGTTTGGGCAAAAAGACTCGCAAAATTCCCGTGCAATGTTCAAGTGGCAAAACTGTCATGATGTACGAAGACATCAAAGACCTCACAAGCTTCACAGAAGTGGAATAGCAGACACGCGAGTGAGAAGCCAGTACTTGGAATTAACTTATCTACAAAGATAAATCAGCAAACGGAACACATAGTCAGCACTCAAAAATCCACATTAGCCACAGAGAATTTGGAGACACTCATTTACAGTGATAATTGAGAAAAATGATGCCATCATTTCAGGGCATTAATTGAAATTCAAAGTGTTTCTTTTCATGATAGAGTTATAACTACACCTATCTTGGTCATATATATATATATATATATATATATATAGAGGAGAGATCTGTTTACTCCAAGAATAAGTCTATTTAGGTTCAATAACTCATGTTCTATATCAAATTTCAACAATCCAATCGTTGAATTTAAAATTTTTAATGCATAGATCAAGTCTGCAAATTTTTAAAAAAATGGATTATGATTTGATACTTTATTTCATTAATTCAAATTGACAGATAATTATAAAATCATTTTATACATTAATTTGAATTAATGAAACAAAGTATCAAATAGTTTTCGAATTTTTTAAAAATTTGCAGATTTGATTTATGCATTAAAAATTTTAAATTCAACGATTGAATCGTTGAAATTTGATGTAAAACATGAGTTATTGATGTAGAACATATATATATATATATATATATATATACATATATATATATATATATGGTCCAATTTATAAAGATTAAAAACATAATTAAAGTTTTCTTTATTAGTTTGAAACCCATTTTTCTTACCAGGAAGGATACAGGAGTCACTAAGACAATAATACATCTTGCAAAGTCTAATAGTAATACCACATATATGTGAAATTATCATAAGCAATTCATTCCCCACCCCATCTCCTTTTCGATTTTTAATTTTGGACAAAACAAGCAATCCAAACTAACAGTTAAAATTGTGATGGATATTGTCATATTCATAAAACACCTTTTAAAATAACATCAAATAATTAGCGCATAAGTTGATATGCTTCAAGAAAGAAAAAAAGTCACTTAGATTAGATGTAGATAATATTTATTTACTTGAATTTAAAAGTAAATAAAAATCATTTCATTTAATAAATCTCAATATACTAGCACTGTCTTTTTCCTTTAAACTCTGTATATGTCATCTCCCTGTACCGCAATACCCACTTCTTATTTAGGATGAATCAATTTACCAAATTTTGTAAAATACCACGTCAATTTACAATTTGAAAATTTACATAAGATGAATGGAAGAAGGACCAGACACAGCAGCAGCTCTCTGTGCTCGATGTGCTTCACATTTATAAAGCTCTTTCATTTCTTTTTTCATGCGACGCGCCTCACGGCGTTCCTCCTTGACAGCAGCCTACAATACAACACAGCCATTACTGTCAATGTTGTACAGTAGCAGTAGAAGTGGACACATAAAAGCCAAACATAAACGTTGTTATTATTCTCGGGGAAACAACCGGTAAGTCTCAAAAAGAAGTCGATAACAATTGCATGCATAAATGAAGCATCATAGTTGATGATACAGATACCTTCCGTTCTTTCTTCTCCTCATTTGACTCAAGGCCATGTTGTTTTCTCTTAAACTGTTCAGTTCTTTCGATGCCCGGGCCTTTAGCCTTTTCAGTGGTCGGTTTCCTACCACTAGGCAAGAAGTCTACTGGGAGATTCTGTTTTCCTCTAAGGGATATTATTTGACTAGAGGAACTCAAGGCCGCAGACACAGTTTCAGCCAATTTCTTTTTCCTAGATACTCCAGGCGCTTCAATCTTTCCAGGGTGGTTATCTAAATTAGAGTAGGTCGAAACAATAGTCTCACAATCCCAAGCTTCTGATTCATCACTACTTTCTTGTACAAATACAACATCCTTGTCTTCATCTTCAACTTCGTACTCCTCAGCATATTCCTTGCAACGGCGAATTACATCAGCAGCAGGCTCGTCTTGTTCCTCAAGCGGGGCATCTTTATTCTTCAATAAATCTGCAGGAACCTTATACATTTCATCATCAAGTTCTAGATCATCCATCACGTTGTTGTTGAGAGAGCGTTTAAGCTTCTCAGCAAGGGACACATCTTCATCAGCTTGATAATTTTCATAATAATCATCACCATCATCATCATAGTCATCATCAGATCCATATTCTTGGCGTTCAAGCTATAACAGAAATATACAGAGAATGAGAATCTTAACGGCAAAAAAGTTCAGCAGCAGTCAATAAAGACATTATAATTGCTAATACAATAAAGGACAAAATTTGGCAAAGGCATCCTCCTGAGGTACCAGAAACAAAGAGGCTCAACATACTTGATTAAATATTATAATTAGTAAACAGAAAGCATCAATGAACCAAAATAGACAGCAAATAAAATATTATGAACAGCTGAACTCACCAAATCAAATTGTTCATCCAGCAAACGACGAACTCTAGGCTTCTCACCAACACAGTCCACTCCTGGTACACCATCTGTTGCCCCATCCAAAGGTACAAAGCCGTCTGTGACTCTGGAATGGGCAGAAACTTGCAGTGCCTGCCCATTGTTTTGGTTTCCATTTATCACAGATTCCATAGCGAAATTCATTCCATTGCATAACCGATCCTTCTCTTCCTCGTCTTCATCTAGATTGGCCCTGACAACAAAGTCTTCTTCCAAATCTTCGACATCAGAGCCCAACCGTGACACATCGCTATCATCAAGCAATGCAGCCACTTCAGGATCAACCGCTTTCTGAATCCTTACACTGGTAGTCTTGGATGCAACACTGTACAAGGAATTCTCCTCAGGCTCTCCACCAGCCTCAGAAATTTGCAACCTCGAAGCATCATACGCCTAAACTCACCAACAACAAAAAAACATAATTAACCAATTCCCAATTCAACATACAACCAAGCTATTTAATCATCCCTTCAATCCATGCTCCTCGTATC